TTTTTTTTTTTTTTTTTTTTTTTTTTTTTTTTTTTTTTTTTTTTTTTTTTTTTTTTTGTAGTTTTACTTATTTATATAAAGTCAGTTTCATATTGTATATTAAATATTATTTTTTTATCTTATTTCAGTGGTTATTATTTAAATGATTCTTTATTTGAGCTTAAAGCTTTTCGTTTGCGTCAGAACACATTTTGACGATGTTGTTCTTCCCTTAGTTTGATATTTGTTTTATTGTTTGTGCTCATCACGCGTATTGTGTGTGACCGTCAGTACACTTACATCTTCAAAAGTATAATAGATATGTTGCATGTTTGCGTATCAGCAACTAATTTACATCACTGATATTAGATTTATATCGTTATTAAAGAAATTGTATACGCGGTGTATTAGAACACGTTAATGTTACTTTTTAGCTTGAAATTTAAAATGATAAAAATAATACTCAATTTTATACAAAAAGTAATTGTAATAAAGAATTAAAGTTTTACATATTACATAAAAGACAAACAAAATAAATACATACATTTTCAGTATCAGTTGTTGAAAAGGAAATAAACATGGAAATAAAGATACACTAAACACGTTTTACTACTTGTATACACATACATATTTTATATATATATATATATATGTATATATAAGTTTATGTATGTTATATTAATCTAGTTCACATAAAAGCAATCTTATATTTTAGATATATGCTAAATAAGTGCTGCAGTTAAAAACCTTTGGTGATGTGTTAAAGTGTCTTGGTGTTGGACAACTTATTGTAAGACAACAATACATAAATGCAAAGTGTATTTAATGTGCATATAAATGTTTATTACAAAAATCTGGAAATTTATAAACTGTAGCATTTAAAATTTAGCTTGTGAAATGTAGCATATTCTTGAAGCAGTTAAGTATTTTTAATATTTGTAAAATGCGTGTTTTTTCTTTTATTTTAAATGCTTAAAACAGAGGAGTCAGATATGGACCGCGTCTTCAAATTGCCATCTACTACATTTATCGGTGGCAAGGAAAAATCATTACCGCTTCGCGAGATCCTGAAACGACTTGAAGCGGCTTACTGCGGTCACATTGGCGTCGAATTCATGTTTATTAATTCGTTGGAGCAATGTAATTGGATTAGACAAAAAATGGAAACGCCCGGTATAATGGAAATAACGAACGACGAGAAGAGGCTCATTTTAGCGAGATTAACGCGCGCAACCGGGTAATAATATTGATGTTAACTGAAATATCTGAATTTCCAGAATTATGTTAACTCCAAAAATAGGTAGTTTTAGTAATTTTAGGAGTGTTTTTTCAGTGTTAGTTTTTCTTTTTTTTTCTTTTTTTTTTTTTTTTTGTACATAACAATTTACATTTGAGGAAGATGAAAATATTTTTTAATATATATTTTAACACTAAAATATAATAAATATATAAGTATAACTTGTTTCTCCGAAATAGAGATGTTTAATTTTTTTATCTACATAATTGTTAATATCTAAAGAATATGGTTACTAAATAATTTTTTTACTCTGAATTACAGATTTGAGGCGTTTCTTGCACGTAAATGGTCTTCGGAGAAAAGATTTGGTTTGGAGGGTTGCGAGATTTTAATCCCAGCTATGAAACAAGTGATCGATAAGTCCACGGAATTAGGAGTTGAATCTATTGTCATGGGTATGCCTCACCGTGGGCGTCTAAATGTTCTTGCTAATGTCTGTCGCAAGCCATTGAGCCAAATATTCACACAATTTGCTGCTCTCGAAGCTGCCGATGACGTAAGTATTTAAATAATTTGCCCTTAGCTATATAAAAAAATTGTATGTTATTATTTTGTTGATTCGAGTAAAAACGTAATTATTCTAGGGTTCTGGTGATGTAAAATATCACTTGGGTACCTATATTGAACGTCTAAATCGTGTAACAAACAAAAATATTCGTCTCGCTGTAGTCGCAAATCCGTCTCATTTGGAGGCTGTTGATCCAGTAGTGCAAGGCAAAACACGTGCCGAGCAATTTTATCGAGGTGATGGTGAAGGAAAAAAAGTAAGTAATCATGAGATGTCAGAAATTCTATATATCAAGTGTTTTAATAGTAATTCAGTCGTTACATAATGTGGAATTCTTACAAAACTGGCTTTTAAAGCTGAATTTAAAAGTTAAATTAATCTCTATTAGAGAAAGTAAGAGGCCAGTAAGAGCTAAACAATAGATATATATGCAAAATATAGGTTTTTAACATGTACAAATTAATATATATAAAAATTCAAATTTTTAATTCTATTTAAAAATTTATTTCGGATGCTTAATTTTTGCATTTCGTATATATTGTTACGCATTACACGTAACTTGCGGCTTCCAAAACAACACGCGCGAGATTTACAAATATAATGCCTTTATTACAAAGCATACAATTACAATGTTCTGTTCTACGCATTATACTAGAGAAATTTAAACGAGATTGGCGCCGTGCGTCAAACTCGCCGCGATTCGAATCTATCAACCAAATATTCGTCGCTCGGGGCAACTTTTCTGTTTTCTTTCTTTTCTCTCCGATATGAATAGCGCGGCTATTCATACCGGGCAGCTGTAACAATATAAATAATTCATTTCTCTATAAAATTTAAGAAAGTATTTCAAAAAAGACACCTTGGCCAGGTGTCAAATCGACTTCCTGCAGTCGCCTTATTAATTTGACCACCAAGACACTAGATAAATTTCTCGCAATGTTTGAATATATTTATTAATTAAAAGAAAAAAACATACATAGGTCCAGCGTTTGACTTTTACTAGCTTTAAGTTTTTTCTAATAGTTGTATATTAAAGACACTCTTATACCTTATCTTATTTTGTATGTTTGCTCTTAAAGTGTTTGTTTAAAAAGCTGATCATCTCTATCTCTATCTCTCTCTTTCTCTCTTTCTCCTCTTCTCTCCTTTTTCTCTCTCATTAGCAAAATATTTAATACATAGTACAGACAATTTAGATTTCATTTCCAAATTTATTTTAATGGAATATTTTGAAGTATATAATTATGTGTAATTTAGGTTATGTCTATTCTTCTTCATGGAGATGCTGCGTTCTGTGGTCAAGGTATTGTCTTCGAGACAATGCATTTATCCGACCTACCTGATTATACCACTCATGGAACTATTCACATTGTCGTGAATAATCAGATTGGATTTACTACGGATCCAAGACATTCACGATCATCACCTTACTGCACTGGTTAGTGTTAGTCGATTTTTGTTTTATCTTTTGATAATATTAACTTAATTTTGTCTACAACAAGTTTATATGATTTACTATAGACGTAGCTCGAGTGGTAAATGCGCCAATCTTCCATGTCAACTCTGATGATCCTGAGGCCGTGATGCACGTGTGCAAGGTAGCAGCGGAATGGAGAGCCACTTTCCACAAAGATGTTGTCATTGATTTGGTCTCATATAGACGCAACGGCCACAATGAGATCGACGAGCCGATGTTTACGCAACCTCTTATGTACCGCAAAATCAAGAAGACTCCACCAGCTCTTGAGAAATATTCCAATTCACTCATCGCCGATGGTGTTGTCACGCCTGAAGAAGTTAAGGTACGAAAACGTAATGCTTATTTTGTTGATTAAATTAATACTAAACAATTATGCTATACTATAGGATGTCAAAGATAAGTATGAAAAAATCTGCGAAGAAGCGTATAATAACGCCAAACAGGAAACACACATCAAATACAAAGATTGGTTAGATTCACCGTGGTCTGGTTTCTTTGAAGGAAAAGATCCGTTGAAGGTATCACCTACTGGTATCAAAGAAGACACACTCGTACATATCGGAAAGAAATTCTCGTCACCGCCACCGAATGCTGCCGAATTTGTCATCCACAAAGGTAAGCACAACAACGATATATACTACAGAAAAATTATTAAATAAAAGAGAAATATTATAAATTAAATAATATTACAAGTATATAAAACATAAAAAAACATTTGTGAAGGAACGTTTATTATTTGATATAGATAATATAGATATGTATACATAATATAAATATATAGATAATATAATAAATATATAAAAAATTTATTATATAATATTTTTAAATATATTAGGTATGCGCAAAATTATATATCAATTTTATATATTCTACAGGTATTGAGCGTATTTTGAAGGCCCGTATGGAAATGATTGAAGCTAGAACTGTTGACTGGGCACTTGGTGAAGCTATGGCTTTTGGATCTCTTCTCAAAGAAGGAATCCATGTCCGATTGTCAGGTCAAGATGTAGAAAGAGGCACATTCTCGCACAGACATCATGTGCTTCATCATCAAACTGTTGACAAAGCGACCTACAGACCGCTTTGCTATTTGTATCCTGATCAGGCGCCTTATACAGTCTGCAACAGTTCTTTGTCCGAATTCGGCGTTCTTGGTAAAATTGCGATAATTTTTGTTTACTATAAATATTATTTTATAATTCTTCTGCTTCGTTAAATAATTTAATTACGTGTGTTTGTGTGTGTGTGTACACATACAATTAAATCTTGTAGGTTTTGAGCTGGGTTACTCTATGACAAATCCAAACGCGTTGGTGTGCTGGGAAGCTCAATTTGGAGACTTCAACAATACAGCGCAATGTATAATTGATCAGTTTATCAGCAGTGGCCAAGCTAAATGGGTGAGACAATCTGGTCTTGTAATGTTGCAACCCCATGGTCTTGAAGGAATGGTAAATTCATAAAAGCAACTTTGTTGTAATTAAGCTTACATTATTTTCATAATATTATCTGTTGGTTTTTAATTTCTCTTCTTTTAATTTTTATAGGGTCCCGAGCACTCAAGTGCTCGCTTAGAGCGTTTCCTTCAAATGTCTGCCGATGATCCGGATTATTTTCCCCCTGAAAGTGAAGAATTTGCTGTTCGTCAGTTGCATGATAGCAATTGGATTGTCGCCAACTGCAGCACACCGGCTAATTACTTTCACATCTTGCGACGGCAGATTGCATTGCCATTCAGAAAACCATTGATTCTTATGACACCAAAGTCGTTGCTCCGTCATCCGGAAGCCAAGTCCAATTTCGACTTGATGTTGGAGGATACGCAATTCCTCAGAGTAATTCCGGAAGAAGGCACGGCAGCGGAAAATCCCAACGGTGTCAAAAGGCTGCTTTTCTGCTCTGGAAAAGTTTATTATGACTTGAAGAAAGCTCGCGCGGAACGAAAACTGGACGACAAGATTGCGATAGCCAGAGTTGAACAAGTCAGCAGTCATATCAAAGTTTTAATGAATTTATTATTTACATTTATTATTTACATTTATAACAATATTCTGAAAATATTTTTGTTGTTGATCACTTTGTCTAATTTTGTTATAGATCTCACCCTTTCCATACGATCTTGTTAAAAAAGAAGCTGAAAAATATCCTAATGCAGAGTTGGTATGGTCTCAAGAAGAACACAAGAATCAAGGTGCGTGGACCTATGTACAGCCTAGGTTCCATACAGCGCTTAGCGGTGGCCGAAAAGTGATGTAAGTAAAAATAGAGTTGCCAAATAATAAGAACTGGAGTATGAAAACGTATATATGTGTGAACACACTTGTGTTACATCGTTCCCAGTTTGTTTCTTGTATCTTTATCTGTTCACACGGCCCACGTTTTTTTCTTTTGTTGCGACAAAACAAGAGATATTAACGCGATTTGTTAAAATTTTGCTGCTATTATGTATTTTTTTTTTACACGGTATCACAAAAAAAAATAAAATGTCGCAATTGTACAATCACTCTTGCTCTCTTTTTATATATTTTATGAAAATAAAGTGAAAAATTTGGGCCGTGTGTTGCAGTGGCTCGTCAGGAACGAGTGAAAATGGTGGAGGGTGGTTTACCGGTTTGTTCTTATCGTCTAAACCAGTTAAAACCATAACTGTATCAGATCTACAGTCAACAGAATCTACTGAACTGAAGAAGAGAATAGTGAGGTAATATCGATGCTCTTTTAATTTAAATAAATATATAAACTATTTGGAGAGTATATTATTAAAGTGTTTACTTATGTATTTTTTTCTATATCTATATATGATTTTCTATATCTATATATATCTTTTCTATATCCTATATATGATTTTAATGTATAGTAATGTACTCTTTTGATTGCACTTTATAGTAAACTTTTTAAGTGATGTTTTTGTAAAGCAATTTTTTCTTTGAGTCAGTAGATATTGTTGACCGATATTGATAACTGTAAACAAACGTTTTCGAGAAGCGATTGACATATTGAGTAAAGTCGATATTATTGTTTTAGGTATGCTGGACGACCCACTGCATCCTCGCCTTCCACCGGCAGCAAAATGCAGCATCTCAAAGAACTCAAGCAACTGCTGGACGATTCCCTCAGTCTTTAATGATTCTTTTTAGCTCTATGTATAGAACTTAAAGATTATTTATTTTTCTCATATACTATGTGTCTGTTACACTTTTATGTCCTGTTCGACATATACAAAAATTACACTGTAGCCGTCTAAAGTGTTTCTTCGCCATTGTCATCTCCTGTATTTAAGTTCGCTCACGTGCACGAATGTTTCATGTTCTTTCATTTGAAATATTATTAGTGATTGATAATAAAAATGCAACTTATACTTCAATCGCGTAAGTTTTTAATGTTATACGTACTACTGATTTAATAATACTATCTACTATCTATTTTTTTTTTTAATTTTTCTTATATTGTTATTTTATACTATTATTTGTTGTATTATATAAGTAACTTATATACATTTTGTTCTGTTTTTGTGTTACAAAAAGAATTCGTAACAGTTTTTTTTTAATAAACGCGATTGCACACATAATGTAAGTGAAATATTGTAATTGGAATTTGTAAGCTCGTCTATTAATTTATGCAAACATGAAGCATTCGTGTCTAAGTCATCTCTTCTATACTACTTTATTCTAAATTAATCTCATAAAGTCGATAAAATCATTAAAAGGAAAAGTATTATTAATTTATACGATGTTATGTAGAGCGTAACATTTTTTTTAACGTATAGCAACGATCTTGAAGTAATATATTCTAGATTGCAAAGACTGTCCATGATAAAAGGCTTTGAGATAATACACGATAACCTTTTTTTTTTTTTTTTTCTATTTATTGATATATCGTGAAAAGATGGCTGCGCCAATCACTTTAACTTTTTAGTTTTGCTTTTTTATAAAAAGATAAAGGATTGGCGATTCACGTAGAATTGCGTTCGTCTTATAATTGTAAAGGTACTGCATATGCATATATATATATATGTGTGTGTGTGTGTATGTGTGTATAAATGTAATCATTGTCTTATCCACCTTGAAACCCTCACATTCGCTGACAACATCAAATAAACGATTATATGTGAGCGCTGGTAAGCATTCGAATATTAGTCAACGAGCGAAAATAAGTGCTTATAAGCGTGAGCATCTAAGGCGAACGCATCTATAGAGTGGTATTAACGCAGACATAGCACTACCTCTTGAGATCAATATCTCGAAGCTTTATGCTAATACAAAATTAAGTGCAAGTTGTTCTTTGGACAGTTTATAGTCATCTCCAACTAGTATCATACTTTTGCTCTGTCGGTTTCAGCCAAGTACAAAAGGGTAAAATATACATCGAAGTTTAATTGTCAACTTGATTTGGATTTAAAAGCATCTTGTGCAAATAAAATTCTAGTGCTACTCCATGGACAGTACTAACGGAATGTTTCAACTCGTTTAACAATGTATTAAGAGTAGTAAAGAAAAATTAATAATACTTAGTAGCATCTAAGAAATAATTGTAATGACAATTTAATCGGAGCAGTAGCATCTTCTTGTGTAGGCCGTTACGCAATAGTGTGAAGGTATATGTTACAGTATTTATATTCTTCTACTTGTACTATTTGAAGACGAGACACACTTGAACAGAAAAAGAAGTATCGTATCCTTTGCGTTATCGTTGATGAAAAGGAAGTATTTTACATATTCTTATGATTGTTTTATATGTTATAGAAAGTGCAATAAGGTGATAGAATTGCCTTATTTTTTTTAAGCATGTGAAACAATAGTTATGTGATATCTCTGTTTTGCGCAATTTAATATCGATATATTATGTATAGATAGACAAACACACAAAGGCCGCATTATCCATTATTTTACTTGTTTGTTATATTACTTGTGTGCGTAATATAACAGTAGTACACATGTGCAAAACTGCTATTATAAATAAACCTCAAAAGTAACATCTGACACTTTAAAATTTTGTTTAGCAAAAACTTACGTGCGATATTGTAGTATCTTATTAGTTGCTGATTAAATTAAATTCTTTCTGTCATCTCGTGTAATATATTCCTTTTGTAATGTAATAGTTGCAAGCTTAGTGAGATATACATCCTTATAAAAAAAAAGGGTTTGAAAATAATTACTTCTAAATCACAATTCTTTCAAATATGGTACATGCTATAGAAAAATTGTCAGAAAACACTAAGGATATAGAGACAATGAATAACTATAAGGATATAGAGACAATGAAAATACATTCGTCATTTTTTTTGCTGTAACATTTTTCTTATTAATAAATAGTAGTATAGAAATTCAATTACAAGAAACTAGAAAGCACGTTTAAAAAGTTCTGTTGTGAGAAGAAAATCATTGAATTTCGAATCTGAAGAGAGCAAAAGAAATCTCGATGAGAGTTTTGTGAAAATTAATTTTTTATTGCGCATAACGTTGGGAGTATAACACAGTGTAAATAAATCATCAAAAAATAAATACAACAAGATGCAGAGAAAGGAAAGTAAATTAAGTAATTAATCTTAGTGCAGCGCCTAGCAAAAACTACTAATCTCGAGTAGAAGATAATGGTTGCATTCCGATATTCACTGCTAGTACTGAAAATCTATATACTTTACGTCACATGCACTATGGATTTTCAATACTGACAGTGAATGTCGAAACGCAGCCACTGTAAGATTACAAGTTACATAACTAAACGACGCGTTTTGTAGTAACTATTATTATTTTACTATGTTTTTAGAAGATACACAGCGTTGTTTCATCGGACAAGCATTTAATATCGAGTGCACTTGCATTTTTATGCGTATGCGTTTAATAAGTTCCTAAGCTTTCTACATAATTAAATTCAATCGCGCTAAACAAATCTCAATAAAATACAATACTTTTGTTTGACACGCTCAAAATTCTGCGCGTAATTCGTAATATTGCTCTTTTATTGCGCGAAAAATACAATAAATAAAATATATATTTATTTAACATTAAATAGTAATATATGTATAGCGTCAGTTCGGCTTTAATAATCGGTTTGTCCCAGCACACTGTACATGATCTTCTTGAAGCTGTTGCTCTGATGTATCTTCTCGCCCTCGTCGTCCATCACGTTTATCTGAAAATTGAATTAATCTTAGCCATTTCACGTTTCTCCGAATTATAAATGTAAACATTTTATTTTTATCTTCTTAGAAATGCATGCATAATTGTTTGTAGACTTCTCACACATAATACTGTGTGCTTCTCAAACATAATGTGCATTAGATGTCTAATGGATATTCATAACTCCATGTAACGTCTAATGAACATCTAATGAAGGCTTATATACTGTTGTTCCGTGTAGGTTAACGCGCTTTACGTAAAACAAAAAAACGAACTATCCGGTTTAGTGTATATACATAATGTGAAACAACACATCTTATCTTATAAATTAAATAACCTTTCTATGCAAAAGCAAGTGAGCACTTTAGCAATAATATCAGAAAACGCACGTACAAGTTCCTGCGAAAATTTTAATAGTCGTTGACGAGATCCTTAACGAAAGGGAGAGGAAAGGGACGTCTATATAATCCACCCTTAACGAAACAGAGGTCGAGAATTAATCTAATGATGTCTTTGACAATGACAATATTGAATAACAGATTCTAAATGACAAGTTACTAACAAATGCGCATATATTAGAATTGAATACGTACGTTTATTGTGAAAATCATATTGTCACATTAACTTTATTTATCGTTTTAAGTTTGAAGAAAATAAGGAATAACAAATTTACGCAAGTTTTTAATTTATCTTTTTTTTTGGAATAATAATAATGATGATGATGATAATAATAACAAGAATAAAAACAATATTAATAATAATAATAATAAATGGTAGCTTTATTGAGCCACACATAAATATAAAAGCATATTAGTAATATTTATTGAAAATACGCGATATTGTTATTTTTTACACATCTGAATGAAAAATATATAATACTCACGTATGCTGGACTTTTCGGTGGAGTCTGGTATATCTATATAGAATAAAATGTATTGCTTAATGCAATATCGTGAAAAAACGTGTATTTAAATATAATATTTAACTTTAAAAAGAATTTTAACTTACAAAAGAAGGACGTAACTATTTTATTTTATATGTTTAGACTAGATTTACTTACAATGAATTGAATGATACAATTAAAAATATGAAACATAAGCATGTTTATCACATAACTTTTATAAAGGCTAATATTTTATAAATGTAAAAAGCTGACTTTCCGAATGGTACATGATATCTAATTGTTAGAATTATAATTTTATTATTATGTTAAACATAATATTTTGATTATAAAATGTATCTTACAAGTAAGCAAATACCGTAAGCAATTGTAAGAACGTACCTTATTCGACTTTTGCGGTGTGAAAACACCAGTGCGAGCTGGTTGCCTGACTTCCTGGATCTGGTCTCCAAGTTCTTCCTCCTGCAGAGCTTTGTATGCCTCGCTCTTACTCGGATCATATTTCATCGGCTTCTTCAGACTGCACATACCGCATGTGTACACAGGGACGACTTTTAATGTTCACTTTTTTGTTTTTCCTCACGTGTGACATTTTTTAATCTGAGTTGGTTAGCAAAACACGGTATCTAAATGCAAGCTTTTGATGCATTTGTTAACCCCTCGTGGACTTTCAAAACAGCCTACTAGTTTTTTTTCAATTTTTTTCTTTTTTCTGAAAATGTTTGAACAATTCGGCGTCAATCAAAACAACAAATTGAAAAAATTTCTAGTAGTTTTGAAGATATAAGCGTTAAAAAAAAACTAGTTTTAATTAGAGACACCGGTTTGAAATTTTTGTGTGGGTTTAGAAGATCCATGTCAGTCTACGAAGAGTTAAAAAACGTCAAAGTTAGTATCATTACGTGTTCTCTCAACTACTATATTATAAGCTAACTCTATGTCGCATGCAAAAATTTTTTTATTGCTTTTGCTAAAGAAAAAGTGTTTTGCGCAAAAATACTCTAAACTTTCTAATTTTTTAAATAACATGTTTACAATTTTTACTATGTAACGAACGACAAAATCGAAACAATAATTGTACATTTATTTTAAACTTAAATTTTGTTTCAATTGGAACTCAATGGCCACGTTTCGTATATTTTAATAATTTGATTGACGATTAAAATATTTATTTTACCTATCTACAATATCTACATATATAATTGAAAAGTTTTTTGTTATTTAAAACAAATAATTATAACAAATGTACTTTTTAATATAATACTTATTGCAACGAATCTTTGGAGTTATAAGTTAAATAATAATAATGTCTAGAATGTTTTTTATTTTAAATTAAGGAATTTTAGAGTTAATTACTTAATGTTTTTTATTTTCTTAACGCAGACACCCATCCATTAGACATCTAGTGGACATATATAATCTAATCTGACTTCTCTAGTGAAAGTTTGTATAGTGTTTTATGTGAGTTTAATATCGTACAATAAATTTTTTTATTAATTTAGAAAAATAATTTGTCCGATATTTATAAACGCATAATTTGTTATACTTTGATAATAATAAAAAAAAGTTTTCCCTCCCTTCCAATAATACATATAAAAACCAAGAAACTCTGCCATCGTAGATCCGATATGCGAGAAGCATCGGAAAACGTCTCAAATGTCAGTCGATAATTTTTAATTTGGTTTATTGAATTGCGGCCACACGTTCTTCGAGGAGACGGCCTTGGCCTGCTCCTTCAAGATTCTCGCTTGATCCTGTATTTCTTGTTTCTGTTTCACGAAGGAAAAGTCTATGAAAATGCTGAAAAACAAACAAACCGCTACGTAAGTAATTAATCATCTGTTGGATCAAAGAACCGTACGAAAGAAGGACCGAATCTTCTATTTTAATGATCGAAGACTGGTGATCGCGCATCGATGAATGGCATATAAGTCTGTACACGTAATTTACTTTTCCACATAATAAACTTTCTCCGTAGTAGCATGAAAAATATCAACTATCAAAAAGGATAATTTTTGTTTTTCATATTTCTTCTGAACTCACAGAAAATCTCTAAAATTACGTCCAAATATCATTAGTATTACTCTTTTAAGTAGAAACAGTTTAAATTCCACCTATTTGTGAGAGTATAAATGGCTTAATTAAGCAAAAAAGCTGATTTTTTATTAAATATATACATTATTTTGCGCTGCAATAAGCTTCACGGCGTATTAGCAATTCGTTGTAAAGATATCTACATGTGTATTTAATTCGGTCTGAATGGTTAAAGATTGGTTAAGAAAATGTAGTAACAATCGTAAGTAATGATCGATACTTACGGTACAGCGGATGCTTGACACTTGATGGTATCCGCAATGTTCTGTTCCGAATAGAGCCCGATTGGCGAATTGAATTGCTTGTGAACGATCTAACAAAAATAAAATTTCACATTTTTTTATCAGTGTAACCATTATATTAACGAAGATTACAGTATGTGTGTGTCATGTTCAAATGTTAGGTATAAACTTAGGTATAAACAGTTTATACCGCAATATTGATTCATATTCGCCGAGTCATTACACAAGTTTAAGCTCTTTTTGTTTGTTTTCAAATAAAGATTGAAATTTTTTTTTATTAAAAGAACGCTAAGAACTTTCTACTACATTTAATATTCACAAAATTTAAAAACATTCTCGTGGCTTAAAATCAAAATAGTCAAATAAAAACTGAAGCATATATGTTATAAGAATTTACACATACACACACAGATGTGTATAGTAACGTGTAAATATTTTAAACTTTTGTGCAATATAAAAAAAATAGTAATAATGCAAGTATTAATAAAATTTTTATTAAAAATCATAAAAAATATGTCATCAAGTGTTGTGTCATTTACAACTGCAGCATTATGTCATAATACTTTTGCAAAAAATAAACATAATAAAAATCTAATGTGTTAGTCCCAACAAGTATTTGACTAACGTCAAGTTTCTTTTATCTTATGAAATTTAGTAATTAGCAATATATGTATCTAAAAATAAACAGTAGATATTCACAGCATAAGTTACTTTAGTAAATTATATTGTTAAATTAAACAAATTCTGGGGCATATATTATGGATCTTATATTAATTTATATACTGCAATAATTATGTTAAAAATATTGTACATATTATTGATTGTTATTGATTGTATTATTAATAATATTATTATTAGATATTAGTCAAAATAGAAAGTGTTTCTTTTCAAACGAAGATGACTTCCGTCAACTCAACAGGTTTCTTGTGGATATATTTGATATCCACAAAAAATGTAAGCGTCGAACGAACCTGTAAACGTCTTACAAAAGAAAACTGAGTGATTCAAACCTTTGGAACTTCATTCGGTCCGACGACACGCTGAAGTACCGTTTCCGCCACCTGTTCAGACGACATTTTTAATAAGATACAATTTAAAAGATTACGGTCTTAATACAAACACGTTTTTAGAAACACTTATTTTCGGTTTTATCACTAAAAATACTATTCAATAAACAAGCTTCTTTTCAGCGTTAAATTACTTTTTGTTTCATAGCAACTTCAGGATGAATCGTTTCGTAATGATGGGGTGCCGCCCTGATCATCGGATTTGGGTGATGACGTAGATAGCATTCGCCGAGAGGAGCATCTTTCTTGACCTTGGCACCTGGTAAGACCAAAGGAGTCGTACGGTAGGGCTGTAAGAATAAAGTAAATGTACTGTTATAATTTTGATAAACAAATTACATCCAAAATATCGCATTGGCTTTGATTATAGTCAGTACTACATACTTAGTACTTATCTTGATTTTTTATTAATATATATTTCTTATCTCTATCCTGTTTTTTATATGTAATTAATATATGTATATATAATTAACATTACATAGTATTATAGGTATTATAGACATGATATATAACAAAACAATATAATTATATAAGCATGATGATAGCTAATAAGGCAACCTATAAGATAATATTCTGCTAAAGCGGATGCAGCCAATTAACTAACGAGATCTAAATTAAACCGCAATAGAGACCATGGTGGAAATTGAAAGATAGCTTTTTAATCTTTGACACTTTTTTTTATGTCGCCATAATTCTCGTGCACAACAACGAGAATATAGTGATACTATCGATGTCGTAGTCTAATTTAAGATTTTGATTCTGTAATCAATAAGTTGCAATATAACGTGATACACAGTAAAGTACTTAAAAATTCGTCGCAATTTATATATTGTTTGAAATATATTAGAGATATTTTAGAATATCAACGTTAAATAACATCATTATATGTAATATAATATTAATTAATTCGATATTTCTAGCAACAACATCAGTCAAAAGTAATATTACCTGATCAACTCAAAGCAAACTAAACTTCTGTCTAGCAGGCTCACGATAAGGAAATTGTACAACATTGTCCTCGGTATTGTCACGAACGAATTTGGCAAGTTACGGATTCTTACGTCATTTTTGCGCGAGATTATGAAATTATGTGATTCTGCGGATATACATCACACCGATTTGCCACGCGAGTCGTCTCTGTTTACAGTTCATGTTGCCAGAATATAACTATATACGTAAAAATAAACAAGCATTAAGCTTGACATTTTCATATTTTCATGATTTCTGCAAAATTTTTGGGAAAAACTAAGAACCAGGTTTTTAATTATCGTAAAAAATTGTGAATACAGCGTGCAATTTTTTCTCATGCAAAAAATAATCTTTAATTTTATTTCTCATGTAAACCTATATCAAAATAGCTATACTTCTGAAAAGCAGCTCGAAAATTTATACACAATTCTCTGCAATAATTTTGTTTTGGTCTCAAAACTAATACGCGTGTTGAGCTTCCCAAACTACGCAGTTTTATATAAACACACACACACACACACACATGTATATATAAATATACATATATAACATCATAAAATGATGGATTTTTTTATTTTTCTGTAAAACTTATATTTTATACGCTCTTAAATTTATTTTTTTATACTTGAAATCGAGAAATTACAACTATTGATTAAGATTGACGATTGATAAATAAGAAATTAACACTCAATTTTCAATCTATGAAATAAAGAGATTTAATAATTTTACTACCATTTTACGTTCTCCCATCTTGCATGCTGCTACGTTTCATAATTAGAACTACGCTTGTAAACATGGTAAGAGCAAGTTTGCGTACGCAACTGTTGCGTTTTCCATTGCGTTTGCACTGTAAAATCGAGCGATTACAATATGATTCTATTAGAAACGGGTCAGGAACGTTATTAAATTTTAGATCCGCGAATGACTCTCTCGAAATAGATGAAGGCTCCCAGCTGGCAAAAATAACACGCACCCTCAGCCGCGTGAACAAGAATCACTGCTCTGTTTCTCTCTGTTCGTCTCACTTTTTACTGTCCGTGACTTCACTAGAAAGCGTCTGTATTTTATTTATTTTTATTTGCTTTCTTGACGAGAGAAGCGTTTCTTGCTGAAAGCGTTGACAAAGTCATACGTTGATTAAGAAAGATGCAATAAGTCGGGCAAGGAAGTCTGATTCCAAAGATCTCCATTTCAAAAATGTCCGACTTTCTTTCAGTTTCAATTTTAACTATATTTTGAACTATAGATCATAAAAATATTTAAAATAAATATTAGGAAGATTGAATATTTTTTTTAAAAACAAGATACGAAATATATATGTGTTAGCTCTCATATCTTTTTTTGTTTTAGAGAATTATCATAAACATCGTGATGATTGTTCGGACAACGTTTTTGTAAAAGATCTCCGAACTAAAAGAATGATCTCCAAACTAATCTCAGACGGAGCAAAACAGCTGTTATACACAGTAGTGTTTACTGGCGATGACGACGAGACAAAACTTAACTCTTTGGAAACTGATTAAAACACGTAATATAGAATACTGGTAAGATAAATGTTAACAATGAAATACATTTTGAGCTTATAATTCACAATTTGAAAAAATATAAAATTATAGAATTGAGATTTATACTAATAAAAATAATTCTATGACTAGTAAGTTGGTAAAATCCTCAAATTCTCTATTTCAAACGTCTAATAATAGTTTTACTATTTTCTTCTACTGATTTTATAGAAATTTCTGAACGATAGTTAAAAAAACTCCATCCGATTTTTAGGCAAGCTCAAGAACTCTATTCTGTTGGTACGAGTGTACAGAATAGGGTTCCAGATTGTTAATTAAACACATTTACATTCAGAATGTCATATTTTTTGTATCTTGACAAACTTGCTTGATTTTTTAGATTATAAATGACTGTAAAAAATACGAATCGTGTTTTTTGTATGACGACTCTTCATGTTTGTGAATAACTCAGATCCCGTTCACGCGAAAATAGAACGCAATATCCTATGAATGACATCTGCAACAGCAAGTTTATATTCTACGTGTGTTTTATTATATTGTACGTTACATATTAATACATATTGCGTGTTTGCAAGCGATCTCATCCTTTATTTTGAATTTAATAGCAAATTCCTCTTTAAAATTTCTTAAAATAAGAAATTGAAATTAATTACAATTTTATTGAATGCAAATTGTCTTGAAAACACAATTGTACGTTACAACGTGTCAATGTTAAAACTTATCTATATTTTCACACATAAATCGTTTAAATTTTTAATATTGTTTGTTTTAATATTTGATACCAATGTTGAAATTTTTCAATATCGCGTGAAACGTCAGTGGAACTGAACTTTTATGTTGTTATTAAGTTTTCATATTTTTAGAATAACGAGAATTAAGCCTGTGCGTTATTGTTGTTATTATTTGAATAAAACACATGAAATGTAATCTAAGCAAAACAAACAATGAATTTTTAAGATATGGAAGGCAAAACTTTTGTACTTAAATAAAACAAAGTTTACTAAATAAATAAGATTAATTTTTTTAATTTATATAACATGTACATAAATTATATAATTTATATACAAATATATAAATTATAATTAATTTTTATTGTACTTTTTAAATCTATTGATTAAGTAACTAAGTAATATGTTGTCTACAATATAGCTTCACTTTTAACATAAATATAGAAGCAACAGAGATTAAATCTCTTAATAACTTGTGAAAAATAAATTTCTTTGATAAAATCCGGTTTTGAGGTGTATCACAAAAATAACTTTTACTCTAAAATAGATATATAATTCATATTATCTTTGATTTACAGTTTTTGTATCGGAAAATTTTTATAAAATAAGAACGAGGAAGTTACATTATTATCATATCTTTCGAACTTTTATGGCAATCTAATTTGTCGGCAAAATTTGCACGCGTATATCTTGACCGTGTTCTCGAAAAAAAAATCATTCAAGAACGAGATAGATCATCTCGTGTGTTCGCGGTCTTTGCGGTTTCCTTATCTCGCGCGCATGAGTCCGCTGATGTTCTCTTTTCTTATGAACTTAATAAACTGACAAATTTTTTGCTTCTCTCTTTCATACCCAGTAAACAGCCGCTTCCTCTTCCTTTGGCTGATGTTCGATGTTGTAACGATAAACGGTTGTATAAGCGGGCATCTTTTTGTCTCGTCCGTTGAGATGCGTCCCGCGGGAGCAGTTTGATCTCTTGTCTTTTTTTCTCTTTCTCTCTCTCTCTCTCTCTCCTCTCTCGCTTTTTCCCGGCTTTTATCAACTTTTTTTAACGGCAACACCTTTGCGACTATTGCAATCGCTCGCGTCGTCTCTCGTTCGCGACTATTGTGCGATTATTTGCGCTAAAACACTACTGACTCGACGAGAGCGCGGGCGGCACTAAGTCTGGCTTTTTCCACACGCTCTTTTCTCTCTCTCTCTCTCTCTCTCTCTCTCTCTCTCTCTCTCTCTCTCTCTCTCTTTCTGTTTGCTTGTGTTTTTACGTAAAACTCTTGCTAAAATGTCTTACAAAGATGTTTGGAATAATCAATAAAAAATTTTACAAGAAAATATTTTCTTCGACAAATTCCAGAATCAAATTAACAAGACAATTGTTCACAAGTGTAATGTTTGATCGCTAAAATTTTCTAATAAATATTTTGTTATCACTATTAAATAGAAATAGAAATAGAACTATAAACTATAAATAGTATGTTTTAAATATCGAAAAACAAATGTACATTAAAATGTACATTGTAAATGTGACACATTTGGTTAAAAGTTGCCAGTCTTAGGAAAAAATAAAATTAGCACACATATATAAAAGCATAAAATATCAGAATTCTCGTAAATTATCTTCTTTCATTTAAATATTTTATAACATGTTATTTTACTTGGTGATATAGAAAAAAAAAAAAGATTACGTACATACTTAGGACTGAAAACAGATCTATTTCCACTAGATGAGAAATAACAAAAAAGAAGAAGACGACGTTTTGAATCTGCGAAAACGTCGGATCGAGACAGGCAGAGGTGGTTTTGCTGTGCAAAAGCGATATTTATAGCGTATGGCAAGCGTCTCTGCTGGTGGCGTCGGACTTTCCGATTTTGTGTGGCGCGAGCCAACAAAAATATATTCACACTTCCTCACGAATAAAGACACATTCATGCCATTTCGCGACTGCCACCCTGTTACCGGCGTTATTGCATTTGCCATAAGGATGTGGTCAATGCATGATCGCGGGATTGGAGAGCAATGCCGAATAAAATAAACGCGGTTCTTCCTGAAAAATGTTGGTATCGCAAAAACGAATGAAATACTTCGTCATAACGAGAGACATTTAAACCGCGATCTTTTGCAAATCATTGCCATTGTTGTTAAAAGTTGCCATATTTTTTTATGGAAAACAAACTCAACAATCACTGAAACTGTGCTAGTCTCTTGTTTATGTTTTAATGTAATTGTTGATCGCTTATTTGAAATGTAACGCAATAGTAAATAAAATTTTTTCAACATTTTACATTATTAAATATTTCATGTTATTTTGAATGGCCGGGAAGTGCAAATTAAACATAAAAAATGCTCTGTCAACGCAGTACAATTCGATGATAAATTAATGTTGTTAGTAAATTTCAAAGTGCAAAAGTGTACAGTCGGATTTCTGTTTTGTTATTTTCCTTTGTATTGTTACTCTCAAAATAGTAGCTTGTGGAAAATATATTTTATTAAAATACCTGCGACAAATGAACTTTTTCTTCACGAATTTCGTCTCGGTGTTCATGCGGTAAGACGATCGTGCTGCGAAGAGTGTATTCGGGAGTCGATATCGGTGATGGTCTGTATTCTTCAACCGAGGGTGATGGTATTGGACTTTTTGGTAATTCTTGAGGATGTTTTTTCGGCTCTTTATACCTATATAAAAGAATCACAAGAATTAGTATGACATTTCACACAGATATAAATATAATAATCGTAATAGTAGCAAATTGCAAGAAGCTCTGCGGCAGTGCTTCGATGAGTATAAAAATTAATTGTGTAAAATTTGATATTTTCATGAACACATGTGATCGTAAGTTAAAAAAAGTCGCAAAAAAAACATTAAAGAATATTATATAGAATTGATCACGTATGAAAAGAAGACAGAGTTTTTAATTTATATTGAAAATAAAAATAAATTTTAATTTTAAATTTTGTTTCGTCCGTTTTGCTTCGTCGTAATGAAAGTTTGCGTGATTGGAGAAGGATCATTATAGATGATTGCCGAGATAAAAAGTAGAGCGATTGTAACGTAACAGCCGAGAATGTTCAGCATGCTTTGTGTAAAGTAAAACTGATTAATCGAACAAAAACAAAATTAATAAACGGTGCTTCATAGTAGCGTAGTGCGACATATTGCGGCATTGTCAATCAAAAATGCGTAGTAATAAAGAGATAATATTGCATTCTGACAGACTAGTGACCGCAGCCCCGTTGCCAGTGACCGACTTGAAAATCGTAGATGACGGTGATGGTGACGCGGTGATGTACGTAGTGTCGGTGGTTAAACGTGATGATGTTGCGGCTCTCGAAGGCTCAGACCTTTCGACGACTAGCTTTATGATTTCGGAGTTTTGAAGAAGATTCTGTGCGTCTACATGCCTCACGTCCCGCGTATCGTAATCGTCAATTTTCCTGATCACGTCACCCTTCTGAAGCGCCTCGTTCTCCGACTGCAAATAGAACATCAGTCGTTATCGTTGATTTGAAGATATATCTCTCTCTTACTACTAAATTATCACTACTATTATAGAAAAGATAGTAAAAAAAAATTATATAAACTTAAATAATTGCAAATTTTTAAGCAAAAAGTAATTTATAGCAAAGTAACACTGATAGTGTTTTTAAATCTTTATCTTTCTTGTAAAAAATAAATATATTTATAAAAAATAAAATCATAACACGCTATAATGTTTGAAAAAGTTGATTTTCATTCTTCAGTTACGCATTTGATATTACACATTTGTGTCCGCGACGTACAAAAAGTCGCTCTCTAATTATCTCGTTGGACGCGTTTCGTTTAGGGATGCAACTACGCGTCGCAATGCAGTATCGTGTATCTATGTCAACAAGCACTAGATCGAATCGTTGATTTGAGAATTCCTTGGCAGAGACTTCTCTCTACTTCTAATGTTCACGGGATTATATTACGTCTTTTCCCATTGTTCAACCGCAAATGCCAACGCAAAATTGTATTGAAGCCAAGTAAGTAGACATCGACGCGAAACCTCGTTAATCAGAAACGAGTCTTTTACAGTCAGAGAAAAACTATATACTTAGTATAGATTATGTTTTTTTTTTTTTATCTTTATAAGTTTGTCATGCCTTGTTGCATTCATGTCAGTTTTGTTATTGCGTAGGTTCTTTTTTTTGCACAAAGATCTCGCTCTATTGTTCTCTTATTAAAACGAATTTAAATCCGTTATTGAATCTTAAACATTGCGAAGAAAACTTTTTTATTAATTTAAACGGAAATTACGTCAAAAAGAGACGACTCACGCGAGTGACAACAATCGGTGTGTTCAGATCGGCACCTCCGGCAATTCTTATACCCCAAGGTCTGCTAGTACTGGATCTCTTGAGCTTCACGACCACCGTGTGTCTTTTCGTCATGCTCTAGATTCGATTCGGCCAGCACCACCACCAATAATAACAATAACAACACAAGAACGATCACCTGATAATCAATCACGAAATGCACTACGCGAGCAGGATTGAAGACAGTCTCGATAAAAGAAGAATCGATTTTTCATAGATATAAAAGAAGACTACACGCGAATTTGCCGCGAGCGATAGATCTTCCGGATCTTGGTTGCTCTCTGCTCCGCTACTGAGATAGGAACTGTAACACTTGCCGACTACATGCTGACTTTGACAGAGCTCTGAGTCAAGAGAAAAAGAGAGAGAGAGAAAGATAGAGACAGCGACAGTCTTCTTGGAGTTGCCTAACTCTAACGGAGACCACTATACTGCTATTCTCTTTTTCTCTCTCTCTCTCTCTTTCTTTGCTATTCTGGCCCCATTTCGAGTTGGCATACCACGCTAACATATTGTTCTGCTAATCTGACCTGCACTCATTTCTGATATTTATCGTGCATGCACGCATGGTACATAAAAAGAGACGCAGGACATTACGACGAAGGACATTACGGAGGAGTTTCTTAAAGACGCAGGCGCTAATGCGCGTAAAAGTTTATTCGAGTTACTCGAACAATTGTGTTTTTGTTTGCATTCTTGATTTTCTATTTCAAAATGTTATCTTTTAAAACTTTTATTTTTGTTAGAGAATAAAGAATAGCTGAATTTTGAAGTTGTGTATGTTATACTTGATAATTCTCTCTTAATATTCAATCTAATCAATTAATTTACTATCTATTAATTACTATTATCTATTAATTAACATATCTATTAATTTACTATTTATTGGTGATAGGAAATCACATTATAACAAGTACAAAGTTTAAATTTACACAAAGATCATTTTTTTGTATAGTTTTTTTTCATAAGCAAAGTTTTTATTCTCAAAACTTTTATTATTTATTTTGTACTTGTTTTTATATAAATAAATATAAATAATGATGAGAGCCTGATATGTAAGTGCACAATTATTAATTGAGTGTGAATTACAAGAATTTTTAATGTAAAGTAAATTTAATTCAAAAAATTATATCAGACGCTCGATTAGTATTACAGATATATAAAACTTCCAATTTACTCCAATTTAAAGAAATTATTACAAAAAATATTATCTCGAAAGAAAATCTGATTCTTCGTTTTTTAGGCGGAGTATGTTATTAATTCAGTTAGCATTAAATTTTCATCTTTAAAACACTAGAAAAGAAATGTAGTTCTAATTTTGCAATGATACGTAACGTCGCAAAGAAATTACATACTATTTGTTGCAGTTATTGTAGATACTGTAATGGGAAGAATGTATTTTTAAAACAATAAATGAAGATGCAAAATAAATAATAAATATCAGGTATAGATAAGATAAAAATAATTCTTATGACATGCATAATATCGTAACTTTATTTATTGACACAGTTTTAAATATATTTCGACACATATATTTCATAAGTAATCTGTAAGTGGAGCAGACACACACACATGTATGTACAGAAAACAACATCCATGACAGATTCTTCGACAAATAAAACTTACTTTATCTCTCCTCTCAATATCAGATTTTTTCTACTTTTCATTGATTAAGTTATTATATATATTACATGAGATAAATTATTAGATTATTTAGTTGAACATAAGAATGTGACCTTGTACGTTTTTCTCTTTTTTCTCTTAAATATCTACGTATATAATTCTGAAATCTATTAAAAATTTGTCAGCAGAAACCAATAAAAAGTCAGATAAACAATATATAAGTTGCAAGGAAAAAAAAGACTGAAAGGTACTTTTTTCTAGTTGTACTCACATAGGTCTCGTAAAAGTGGCCTATGGAAAACTTGAGAGCCATCCTCGATGCAAAAGTTTATCTGTCCTGTCGCTTTTTTCTGCTATTTCCTGATAAGAACCTATGTTCTTCTTCAGAGCTCCTTCCGTCGTGTGATGTTCATGGACGGCGAGAAACTTCTCTGCGCGAGCCGATTCGATTGCAATTAGTTTGGCTGCACTGTAATTAATGGAGGACTAGATCCGAAGGCGAGAACAAGAAAGAAAGAAAGAAAGAATAACAAAGAGAAAGATAAAGAGAATGCGAGCTAAATTAGCAACCTATAGTGTGAAAGGTTAGTCAATCTCGGTTAGTTTTCGATCCAGCCGCACTCTAGTGACTCACTTTATCTTAATTTATACGTGATCATTATCGTATAGCCAATATGCGATATGCGACATTGGCAATAGCGATGTTATGAATCACCAGCTAATTACATCCTGAAAACTTAAAGATTTTTACAAGAAGAAAATAATTTTGTGCGCCTGTGTGAACATTACTAGCAACACACATAGTATGGTAAAAATATATTTAATAAATAAAATAGACTAATGCTGGTTGTCTGTTGCGTGATTTGTTTATTGTAAATAATTCCCAAACAATTATTCTTCTCAGTAACTAAAATTGTGTGAACTAATATAAAAAAAATTAAATAAAAATTATCTAATTGTTAAAACAATTGTTTGAAGGTAATGTACAAAGTCATATCTGCTTGATAAAGTTTATATAAATCTTGGATTTATACAAATAAAGAAATTATCGCGTCAGTGATGTCATACCACTGTGAAATGTAGAGACAGATGTAAAGGTTTTCCTCATATTTTACAAATATTCTTTGGTGATCGCCCGGCTAATGACTATACGTCGTATTTCACAAGTGCCTGCACCGATTTCGTACAGCTTTGCGTCTCGCAGCAGCCTGCCCGTTGAATAATCATTGATATATCCGTTGCCGCCTGTTGCGCGAGTAAAAAAATATAGTGTGAGTATTAAACTAAATATATATATCTTTACAATCAAGTTTCATATTCTATTATTTTTAATGTGCTCGATATTTACCAAGTATCTGTAAAGCATCTAACGCTGTTTTTACAGCCTTTTCACTAGAAAAAAGTAATGCCGCTGCGCAATCCTTACAATTTGTGTAACCATTGTCGTAGGCTCTTGCAAGAAGATATACGTAACTTCTACTTGCATTCAATGCCGTGTACATGTCCGCAATCTTCCCCTAAAATATTACAATTTTAGACAACACTACAATCGTAAGCAATTTCGAAACATGTATAATTTTACCTGTATGAGCTGAAATTCTGCAAGATATTGATTGAATTGCTTTCTTGAATGAGCATATTCAAAAGCAATATCGCAACAGGCTTGCTGAATGCTAAAATTTGTATTTTTTTTTAATATTACTCATTATTTAACGTTTATTTACGATCAAAATGAGCTGTTTAAATGAGAAAATCTGTTTTTGATCAATTTTGTTATCAAAATTGCAAACAAATTTAGAAAATATAATTCTTATTTATACAGACATTCTAAATTCGTAAAATTTGTATCCATTAACCATCTTTTAAACGCGCGAAACATAAAGAAATGAAGGAAATAAAATAGGTGTTCCGTAAAAAAATAAACTATCTTTTATATGTATAAATATTTATATGTATATATGTTATATGTGTTATATTATTTTCAAAATACCCCAAAGGTCCACCGGATAATATCAACCGTTCCAAATCCAATCCACTGAAGAGTATATAAACTCCTTTATTAACCTCTCCCAAAATGTTTGCGGCTGTAATAGGAATGATTAATTAAAAAACTTTAGTGAAAGATAAGAGAATGATTATAATATATACTTTTTTGAAACAAGCTTTGAATTATATATTAATTATATATTAATCTATATTTACTTTTTTTATTTAAGCGATTATTTACCTGGAACTTTACAATTCTCGAAGATCAGCTCGCAAGTATTGGAGCCGCGCATACCTAACTTGTCCAGTTTTTGCGCTGTGCTGAAGCCTTCCATATCGCGCTCGATGATGAAAGTGGTGATACCGTGCTGTGGTTTCTTCGCGTTCGGATTAGTCTTCGCGTAAACTACTAACGTGTCTGCATTCGGACCATTAGTGATCCAGAATTTGTTGCCGTTGAGTATGTAATAATCTCTTTTCTTCTCAGCTCGTAGCTTCATGGAAACAACATCAGATCCAGATCCCGGCTCTGACATTGCTAGTGCGCCAATGTGTTCGCCGCTGCAAAGCTAAAAAGAAATAGTATTAAAAGTAATTTGTTTATATTATTAATGTTGATATATGATTAACAATTTAAGCAAAACTCTCATTTGCAATTTAAATCAATATAGAAATATATTATTAATACATGTCTCTCCTTTTTCTATTTCATATCTATATATTTCTATTAAAGAATATACATATACAATGTGTGTGTGTGTGTGTGTGTGTGTAAATAAGTAAGTAAACAAGATATTACCTTAGGCAAGTATTTATGCTTCTGTTCCTCCGTACCGTTTCTGTGAATTTGGTTAACACAAAGATTCGAATGTGCGCCGTAACTAAGTCCAATAGAGGCTGATGCTCTACTTAATTCTTCCATAATAATTAAATGATCAAAATATGTGCCGCCCGTGCCTCCATATTCCGGCTTTACTGTGATTCCCAACAGACCCAATTTACCCAATTTTTTCCAAAATGTCTACATATGTATATAAGTTTTTTCACATCAATTAAAAAATTGTATAGAGTAAAGAAGGGTGTTTACAAAAAAAAGCTTATTTTGTTGTGTTCAAAAGAAGTTAAACATTTTTTAATAGTTTTTTATGCAAAACCCTAATGATACTAATTAAAATTTCAATTTAGATTTAAAGTCAATACAAGTTTATATGTCGGATGTACGTGCATATATACTAATAAATACACCAAAAAATTCGAAATTTAATTTGAAAATTCATCTAAGATACTTGGTTTGCATTTCATACCCACACAGATCCATCCATCCAAACATCCATTAAACACATATAAATAGTACTCGACGTGTTTGTGCAAACGTATGAGAAACTTTTAGTTGCGTCATGTAATTTCGCTATTAACTATAGAATTCTCATAAAATGTTTTACATTTTTTGTCAAAATATATACATGCTATATTACGCTGTATGTCATCGATACGTACATATATATGTGGTGTAGCAACCTGTTTTAAATGTGATGTCACGCATTTTCCTGAATTAAAGTCAATTTTTTATGTTCTTGACATGTAATATATTTTGACTACTATTTTTAGATTTCTTATCTTAAAAATTATAAGAGATAATATCTATTTATACTTCTTTGGAGAACAGCAAAAATAGTAGTATCTTTATAGTATATTTATACTCACTCTTAATTCAGCAAAATTATTTTGTTTATCGATTTCAGCAGCTTTAGGTGCCAATTCTTTTTGTGCAAAATTGAAAACGAGCGAACGAAGCTGATTATAAGCAAACAGAGAGAATATCAATTATTATTATTAAATATTTTGTAATCGTATATAAAAATATTTTATATTGCATGATTTTTTAATGAGAAAGGAAGAATGTAAAATAAAAACTTGACATAGTGTTTCAATATATGTATTTTATTATGGTGAATAATATGCACATCTAACAATTTATTTTATTCATTTTTATTTATATTTTCAATGATTTCATAGTAGTTTCAGTGATGTTTTGAATGCTACCATAACATTCTACCGACATACAGGGTGTCCCAGAATTGCCGTATCTCTCGTAGGCAGGTAGAAAGAGTAAAGCTGAGTCGAAAAGTCCTGAACCATTTTTTTCTATTATAATAAAAGAGTAATTATTGAGTAAATCAGGCTTATCAGCGCCGATCTTTTTAGCCAGGCGCACGTTAGTGAGCCGCGCGCCTAGTGTGTGTGAGCGCACGCGCGGCTCACTGACGTGCGCCTGGCTAAAGGTCGGCGCTGTGTGTGAATGGCCTGATTTATTCAATAAAAAATTACTCCTTTATTATAAGTAATAGAAAAAAATGATTCAGGACTTTTCGACTCAGTTTTACTCCTTCTACCTGCCTACGAGAGATTATATCCTGTATGTAAGATTGTATATACAATTTAAAAAGTTGATCACCGTTTTTGAACAGAAAAGGTACTATTTTGATGACTTAAATTGTCATGCAAGTTGTCCACGATCCAAGTTCTAGTATACTTAACTTGTATTGTACTTTGACCGATTTCTTGGACCGTGTACACAGGTTTTTGTTTTTACACACTTTGCAAAAAGTTTATTTCTAAGCTTAGTTATCTGTGAATATGATAGTTAATATGCGTATCTCAAATAATCGATGTAAATTAGGTCTAGGTACCATTATACATACAAGTGTGCTCAGATCAAGTCCTAAATGAGAAAGAAAATGTGTAAAGAAATTTGGAAAATTATTTTACTAACCTCTTTCTGTTCATAACTCAGTCCATAAATATTGTCATCGATATTACAATACTGCGAGACATTATTCATGCCAATTTTATTAGTACGATATTGAAACCTTGCAACTTGTCGTAAAACATTGTATCGAGGCGCAATATTCATCTTACTGTTTTTATAATTGAAATTGAAATAAATATAATATTACCGACTTTTCTCTTTTCTTATGTTTTTAAAGACCTTAAACGTAATACGCTGTATGTAAAAGTTCGTGAATAGATAAGGGCACAAGAGATAAATCATATTATCAGAGATCAGAGGTCGATTCTGGGAGCTTTCCGGCTACGTACACAGGCGACACTGTGTAAAGCCTGTTCTACATTGATCGCAAGCGCAAACGCAAGGAACAGGTCTGNTAGAATTGACTAATCGTATTGATCAAATCAGTCAATTGACCAGCGTGATTGGTCAATTCTACGAGATCTATACCTTGCGTTTGCGCTTGCGATCAATGTAGAACGGGCTTAATAAAGCCTATGTCACACTACGGATTGGGATTGAGATTAGATTGAAATTTGACCAATTAGAAAAAAGAAAACCAATCCTAAGTTTAGTGATCTTCTCTCTGATTGGCCAAATTGCAATCCAATCTCAATCCTAATCCGTAGTGTGACATAGACTTAACACAATGTCCATTAGTGTGAGAAAGAGCATATCAGTAGATCTGTTTTTTTAATCTGAACTTGCTACACTAGTTCAGAGTTTATCTTTTTCTTCCAATGTGGAGTGAAAAAGATGAACTAGTGCGATCAGTTCAAGTAAAAAGAACAGATCTACTGATACACACACTAGTGGACACCGTGTTGCACAGTGTCGCCTGTGTACGTAGCTGAAAAGCTCCCTCTGTATAGGTACCTTTTCATACAGCAGCACGCTGCAGCAGCAAAACGTCACATGACTCAAATTTTCTAGGACTGCTTCCGCTAGATATATTTGCTGCTCTTACTTAACCCTCACTCGATGCCATTGTCTGCAAAGTTCAAACGAACAAAAAGCAGCAAAACCGGGAAAATTTTATTGTTGATACTTATGCAATAATTATATAATTCCATCAACAACAAAAAATGGCATCAAATGAGGGTTAGGTAAGAGCAGCAAATATACCTAGCGGAAGCAGTCCTAGAAAATTTTAGTCACGTGACGTTTTGCTGCCGCAGCGTGCTGCTGTATGAAGAGGTATCTTAAAAATGACTTGTAGAACGCGATACAGGTTTAACGTCAGCGTCAACTTTAACAGTCGGTCAGCTAAACTTGGATTAACTTAAACCTTGTGAAACCGGAGCCTTAGTGGATATTACTGCTGGGAAAATATCAATTGGAGTATATCAGCTGAGCTGTCATGTATTCCACAAAAACACCACGCATACTTTCGATCCAGAGTCATGTAGTATCAGGATACGTCGGTAACAAGAGTGCTACATTTCCTTTACAGGTGATTGAAAAATTGAAAATTGCGTTTCCGATTGTTCCTGTCATTGTTGATTGATATTTCAAATTTTCTCCGACACTTGAAAATTAATTCTTTTATGCAAGTGTACTTATATATTGATAAGAGCAACAAAAGTCAAACAATATACTGTACTAGCTAATAAAAAATTGTGTTAAAAAATTTGAAGTTCATGAGAAACAACTATTTTAATGAGTTTCAATTCGGGAAGACACTTGATCATTCTTAATCGTTCGAGAATATCAAAAGTGCATTTCAAAAACTAAGAATGGCTCTTATAAATAATGTTTTGGATAGGAAAAATTGAGGGACGATTTAGTTATAAAATTGTAATTTTTCCATTACATAAAGAACAATACTTAGGCTCGATTTCTTCATACCTGCCGATAGCTATTCTCTGAATAAAGATATATAAAAAGATATACTTTATCTTTTAGATAAAGTTATCGAGAACTTATCAGAGGTAAAGAAATTGGACATTATTATTTGAAGCTGTACATAATTTACGATTGACCGCAATATACAATTATGGCTTCTGCAAACAGACGCGTTACGCAATGAGAAATAACACAGTTAATCATTTGCTCCTGTAGAAAAGCAACATATAGATTGGATATTGCGTTGTATGCAACGCGTTATCCAATCGCTTTCTGTCTGTAGAATTTCTTAGACCCAATTTTTTCACTCCTAGAGTTCTCGATAACTTTATCTAAAAGATAAAGTATATCTTTTTATATATCTTTATCTAGAGGATAGCTATCAGTCATTAGAGATTAGTCACACATTATGTGTTATCCTTTGAAATTCTTTGTTTTGTTCAAATATTAGCATCGGAAAATTCATATTTCACTGATTTACTGACAAAAAAAGTCATTCTCTCTGTACACGTGGGTGTATGTATGCATGCGCGCGCAGAAAGAGAGAGAGAGAGAGAGAGAGAGAGAGAGAGAGAGAGAGAGAGAGAGAGAATAGTATGTTTGAAAAAACAAATATTAAATGATTTTAATTACAAATTAATAAAACTTTACATTTAATTTTTAAAGTACAACAATTTTGAAGAAAGTTACAAATTAATGTAAATTAAATAAGAAGTAGGTAACAATCTATGGATTTTTATAGAATAATTCAATAGTTATAAAATTGAAAGGTTCTTCTACATTAGTTGCAAGTAAACGCAAGTCGCAGATCTCGTAAAATTAATTAATTGCATTATTGAAATCAGCCAATCGACCAACATAATTAATCAATTTTGCGAAACGTACAACTTATGTTTGTGACTAATATAGAAGGACTAAAAGAAAAGCAAACTAATTATATACAAATGTAGACAATTTTAAATAAAATAAAGATAATGCACTTTTTTTTATTAGCTATTAGGCTTTGAGGTTGATGCAATTAACTCGGTACAGTTATCTAATCATACTGGTTATAAAGTATTTAAAGGTCAGATACTTGATGATAAAAACTTAGGTAAGGTGAAAGAAGAATATGTAGAATATATAGAAGAATATACCAAAGTGAATTTATTAATTGAAGAAATTTTCCTGAGATATGTTATTAATATTTTAGATGACTTAGTTGATGGTTTAGCACAAAATGACTTAGATCATTATACACATTTACTAACTGGGTATATTGGTTCTGCTTCCTTTTTAAAAAGAGTAGCATTACTGGTTACAGCATTAAAATGTAAAAATCCAAATCTTATATATGGTATGTCATATTTATTGACTGATGCTAATACATAGATAAATTTTATTTTATTTTTATTTTATACTACAATGTATATTTTTATATTGTTTACTAATAATTTTATGATAACTGATTAATATTTTTTCTGCTTATCTTACTAGTTTGCGATCCTGTTATGGGTGACAATGGAAAGATGTACGTCCCAGAAACATTGAAAGAAATTTATAAGAAGGAAATAGTACCATTAGCGGATGTGCTAACTCCGAACCAGTTTGAATTAGAGTACGTATACTTCATAAGATATTAAAACTTATTATAACAAGTATTGTTATTTTTCGCCAATTTTAATGCAATTATATTATTTGATGTTTTCATGTTGTAAGAATTCCTATATATGATTTCAATTTCTTTCATCACGGTTTAATAACATACTGTATATTATTATTGACTAAAATTTTATAAACAATAATTATAGTCATAAGTTTTAAAATTGATATAGTTTTCTTGTGATTGTTTATATATATTAATTTTGTTTTTCAGATTGCTAACAAATCAGAAAGTCACCAATATGATTGAATTAAAAAGTGCAATAAAAAAATTACATCAGATTGGGCCACAAACTGTGGCTGTATCATCAACCGAAATTGATTCTAAATTGACAGCAGTAGTCAGCACAACTAAAGGTTGATTATGTACAAAAATAAGTTTCTAAAGGATTATAAATTACATAAAACATTTCTGATATTTGATGATTTTGCGGTGTGTTATAAGAATTCACATAAATAGAATAAGAATTTCAGAAATAATAATACATGTTTTTTTATCTCAGATAATACAATAATGAAAATAGATATTCCCAAAATACCAGCAACTTTTACGGGTTCTGGAGATCTTTTTGCTGCATTATTTCTTGCTCACTTGTATTTACAAAGTGATATGAAAACCATTATGGAGAAAACTGTGAATTCCCTGTACAATGTGCTACTTAATACTTACGAATATTCTAAAGGTAAAAACTGTTATACAATAATGTTATATAAAACAATTATTATTTTATTATTGTTTATTATTTATTATCATTATAGCATGTACAGATGTTGATGCACAGCCAGCAAAAACAATTGAACTAAAACTTATACAAAGTAAAAAAAGCATTGAAAATCCAGAAACTCGTCTGTTTGCGGAATTTTTATAACAATGTTAAATCATGAGAGACTTGTTTATGGTCTAGAATATTATATATATATGGTGTGCTTGCGTCAAAAATGTTGCATTTAATCTATAGTACACTTTACGTATAGTATAGATAAATGCGCGCATATGCGTGAAACGGAACGCAGCTTAAGTCTACAAAGCATTTGTTAAATTGCACTTATTAACATTCGAAGACGTTTTTCGGGTTTGAATCGCGTTAGTGTTATTTTTATACCGATATTTCGTGAACATTTCAGTTTACTTCATCAGGGTTTCAAGAGCAACCTGTATACACGTCAATATAAAAATAACACTAACGCGGTTCAAACCCGATAAACATCTTTGAATGTTAATATAACACACCGCAAAAGCATCAAACATCAAATTGCATTTATATATAATATTGCAAAAGATCGATGTTATATATATATAGTAGTGTCTCGCTAACTTTTTGCTCCACGATTCCGCGAGCGGAAAAATGCCGAGAGAGGTATTGTTCCGTGAATTGCCGACTGTTATTTCTGGCACGACCACGGGTTTGACCGCCGCAGAGTCTTCCTTACCAATTCGCGCAAAGCCTCAGCGAAGCATTTCTAGGAATTGGTGGAGATAACTCCCAGCACGATACCGAGGGAAAAATTCCACATGTTTGCGATGCACTACTGTAATAACATCGATCTTACAATAATGTAAAGAATGTAATAATGAAATTCCAAAATCCGATGTACCTGTTTGTTAAAATATATATAATTATTTATTCATATATTCATATACTCTCATCCTGTATATAATATAAAAATATGAAGATTTTACTAAATAGCAATCAGTTTATCATTTTAGGAAAAATCCAGAAGTTTTATTTTAAGATTTTTTGATATTTTGACGTCAAATACGTTGTACTTCTTTGCTTAAACAGCGCTTGCCCCTTCGAGAGGATTATAAGCCAGTCTAAGACAGATTTGTACCAAGATACTCAGATAAATGTGATGTGGGACATCACGAATTCAAAAAATATAACGAAGACAGAATGACTTTTGTGTCGACTGTGTCTCCTAAAAGGAAAGCAGCTAATATTTTTCTGTTTCAATTGTGGGCACTTCTTATAGGCTGCTTTCCTTTTAGGAGACACAGTCGACACAAAAGTCATTCTGTCTTCGTTCAGTATTTAGTGAGAAACAAAGACAGAATGACTCTTGTGTCTTTTAAAAGGAAAGCAGCCATAGAAGAGGCTGTGTTCAGTTAAGCAAGATGGAACGAACTAATGCAGGAAATGCAGGAAATACAGGAATTGGAACTAATGAATTCCTGTATTTCCTGCATTTCCTGCATTAGTTCGTTCCATTTTGCTTAACTGAGCACAGCCCTGTGTTCCTCCTCTTCACCCCTAGGCTGCGTTCGGAAACATCACTTGTATATATTTTATCTTTATTGCTCATTATATATAAAACAAAGATAGAATAACGCTCGTGTGTACGCGAGTGCTATTTCCGAACGTGACGCTACTATTTTTCTATCCCCACTTTTCCACTAATATTCTATCCAGCGTTGCCGAAGGTGTTATGCGCGCGTTTATCTATAGTACACGTCACGTATAGTATAGATAAATGCGCGCATATGCGTGAAACGGAACGCAGCTTAAGGAGACGCACCCTATACATGCTTCTTCTCGATAGGGACCTTCATTTGTTACTAGATGTATATTTTATGAACTGTATTCTAACCTTAAGCCACATAAGCGAGCACTTGTGGCATGTACCTTTATTCTCTCAATAAAAAAAAAAAGAATACTTAACCTCAGTATGCGGACTTGAATCGAAATAATTTTCAATATTATCAATTTTTGTGGTACATAATATTGTTTTTCTTTCAACCAATTTGTAACGAGTCATATACACTTTGTAGTCGTTTCAAGTGTATGTCACGAAATTAACAAGCGAATAACAACATGAGTTATCGTTCCTAGGTTTTTACTCAAGCAGATGATTATATAAACAATCACATTACAGATTAATGACAATGCTACAATTTAGTGCAACACTATACACCGCAACTGCTAGGCTCACACCTCGTTCATCCTGGCATTTTGCAGCCTTCATAGCCAACAACTCCAGCACAGCAACCTCTAGTGAGCAACCTGTTGTTTCTGTGAAAGTAAGTCGTAATTGATAAAAGAAACAAAGTCATTTTTCTTCTTTATTTATATGATCTTTAATAATAATTATTATACCTATAATTGAATGTTCAACTTGATCTTTTGACAGAAAATATTGCTGATGATTTATCTTTCTTTTAGGAAGAGAATAATGTTAAATTCTCAGAAATACAGAACAATATTTTACAGAAAGAAAAAGACCAAAAGTTTCAGAAAATAGGAACTCAAACAAAGATTTATTCATCAGAAAAGAAATGGTTGAATGAAAATGATAAAATATTTACCAAACAATTTCAAGCTGCTACATCTGTAAATGACTTACTGGATTTGGCAATAATACCAAATCTGTCTACTGTTAATGCGCTGAAACTTATATCAAGTATAACTAATCAGATAAACAGTGGAAAATCACACATAGTCAATGTGGAAGCTGATGAAAGATTTATTCATCTCAGAAAAATAGTACAGTTTGGTGGTGAGACAAAAAATATATCATTGAGTGATGATCTTTCAAAGTATTCTCAGCTATCTACACCTGCAATGATTGCAGTAAGTATCAGTTATTTGTACTTAATATACATATGTACATTGATGTGTATTTTTTTATGAAGGTAATAGCAAAGTTAAGAGAACAAGGAAAGAGGCACACACCACTTTTAAGGTTGTTGTCATACAACATTGTCAAGTACAATGTAAAGTTAAATCTAAAACAATGTGCAAGTCTTTTATATAGTATGGCTGTACTTAATTTTCCAGATATGGTATGTATATACATATACATTTCTAATATGTTCTAATATATTAATGATTTAACATGTGATAAATTATACAACAGATTCTATTGGGAAAAATCGTAACCGATTTATTGGAAGGTATACCAAAAAACACCAAAGCTGTTACAAATAAATCCATAATAACATCATTAGGATTTTTACATTACAAGAATGAAAGAGTACTCGATGCATTTAGTGATACTCTTTATGCAGAATCACTCAATTACAAATTTCAGGATTACTCATCAATACTTCAGACGTTTGCAGCTCTACAATACAATACAGAAAAATCGAGATTGTTTATCGAAGTATATGAGAACATTTTTTACTGTTTTTGATAATTTTTCTAAACTTTTCATATAGATTTTTGTTAACACTTCTTTTTTTGTGTATAAAATTTACAAACAGTTATTATTTTTGTGGCCAGAAATTTGCGGAACTCGCAAACCAATATCAAACTGACTCAGTTGAATGGTTAGATATTGTTTGGTCTTTAGCAGTTTTGGATGCAGTGCAACCTTGCCATGTAGAATCTGTGTTGGATCCTAAATTTGTGGACAATCTAATCAGTCTGTATTTATTATCATATAACTGAAATATTCTATATAAAATTCAATATATACCTTCAATATATTTATTTGTATTACATGTGATTTCTTGTCTCTTGTTCTCTTACAGTTTCTACCAAGCTAAGTGTGTCAAAGAAATTAAAATTATTAAATATCAACGGTGTTGCACAGTTTATACTGAAGGATTATAAAGGTAGATATCCGACAATGTGAAAACTATACTAACAAGGAAGGACACACGGTTGACTACTTTATCGATTTTGACAAGTTTCAACAAGAATAATTTAGAGCTCAAAATATTGAATATGCGTTCAAGTATTGTACCACTGCGTTTTGTGAAAAGATTTTTTCGTTTCAAGTATTATGCAGAAATAGATTAAGTATTATTTCTTCGAGACTAGTCTCGCGCTCTCACTGCGCTACGAATCGCTGCTTATCCAGCGTTCTATCTTTTATTCATAAATTTACCTAACGTAGAAATTTCAAATCTGATAAAATCTTTGTACAAATCGTTGTTTATAAGGCTCATTGAAACAAACATTTGAACATGTATCATATTTTTGATTATATAGTTTATTTCTCGTTAAAATCGGTTGATAGCTCTTTCTTCTTATTATAAATTTACAAATTGTTATTATTTTAAATTACAGGTCCTTTTTTAAATACAGATTTAGAAGTATTTAAAAATATACCTTTAGTCAGAGCAAAGGAAAAGCAAATGTATATAGAAGCATTGTCGGAAGCACTAAAGAAGTTATTGCCATCTTCTTCTTACTTTGAAACAAATCTGGATACAAACATGGGCTTTTTATTAGGTAAATATTTTAATAAGTAGAATTCACACACACACAAAATGTGTGTCTGTGTGTATATATACACATGTATATCTGTTATATTGATTTCTGCTTAAGCACTTGGAAATTATATTTAATCTCTAGATGCAGAATACCGTATAGATGATCAATATAAACTTATAAAAGTAGAAAATTGGGACGAACAATCTACTAATGTAAAAAGGTATATAGTTCTAAATTACGTAATAAAAAATAAAATTAAATAATAATTTAAATTTTACTCTATTAAATCAAACTCTTTAAATACAAATTTATAATATTTTAGTAAATAATATATAAACGTATATCAAAATTAAAAAATTACAATTTTTTAATTATTAGATATCATAAGAAAAAGTATGAATTTAACAAACGCAAATGAATAACTGTTTCAGGATAGGAATAATGATACACGATTATCACGATTACTGTCGAGGACAAAACGATCTCATAGGATCAGCATATTTATATACACAATTGTTAAAAGCCAGAAGATACAACCTCATAACAATTTCTTATGAAAACTTCAGTATACAAGACAAAATTGACAAACAAGTTAAATATTTAAAAGAATGTATGAATAGTGTGCAACATGCAACATCAACGTAATCATATATATATATA